TGCCAGGCCTGCCCTAAGCCGTAGGGCTGGAGCTCAGTCATTGCCAGGCCTGCCCTAAGCCCTCAGCGCGCTGAGCTGCGGGCTGCCTGCAGGGGAGTCAGGACTCGCTTTGGGTTGGATCTTTAGGAAAGAGTACGTCCTCCCTACCTTTCCAATAATTAGATTGTACTGGGAATTTAACTCAAGTTGTGGCTTGAGATTTTCTCTCCTTTTTTGCAGTAATTTGGGATAGTTATTTGGTCTTCAGAAAAAAAAATAGCTCTAGGTATGGATGTAAAAGCCTGATTTATTAGGAGTGGAATGTTGGCCAGACACTCCAAAAAAARGCTTAAGGTATAGTAGAGTTGCCAGCGCTTGTGATAATATTGAGAGTCTGATGTTTGCTATTCTTTTTAAAACTTAATTTCCCAAGCTGCTGCCTTTTTTTTTTCCTCAATGAGCCATTTCCTCACTACTTTTCATTTTAGCTGTCATCTTACTTGCTGAAACGCGTGCCCCGTATTCACCCTGTGGCACGGGAGGGGATAACATTGCAATGAGGAAATAGCGGCCAAGCACAGGRAGAAGTAAAGCCAGGATATTTGGGAGCTAAGCTTTTCACGAGATGAATCTCTGCAGGGGAGAAAACAAAATATGTGGTGAGCAAGGAATAGCTAGTACTTAGAGACATGATGTGGAATGTTTTCTGTCCAGAAAACAGTCAGGGAAAGGCAAAGACATCTTTGCGCAGCAGCAGCTAAAACAGGGATTTTCTCCCAAATCSCTTTTGAAAAAGGTAAAATATTGTGACCCAACAGAACTGAGATAAATCAAAGGGACAAATGAGGAAAAAAGAGACTCCAGCCTGGAGTCTCCAGTAGCATGAGCGTCTGCATCTCCAGGCCTCTCCAGCCTTGGTGCTGGGGGAGCTGCAGGGGGAGCSCCGCTCAGCACCTGCCCCTGGCAGCGCGGGGCCACCAGATGCAGAGAACCTGCCTGTTCAGAAGTGACGTAGGAAGCGTAGGGTGAGTTTCTTGTGATGCCTGAAAGGACCACCATGGGGATTTCCCCATTACTGGCTTCCTTCACAATGTAAAGAGAACATGTAGAGTCCATAGAGTCAAAGATGGCTCTGTTCAGCTGTTAGCAGAGGCCAGGCGGTGCCGAGGTGGGCCGAGGTGAGCCTTGGCACTGGGCTTTTCTGTAGCTTATTGATTATACACAGCAGTCCTGTGAGCTCACACTCATGCTTCTTCAAAATGTACAAAAGGGATCATACCTAGGTAGAAGTTAATGCTGTTGTGGCCAGCAGCTTAAAAACTCTGCCCGTGTAGCTGTGTGTCACTAAACTGTGATGTTTTCTACAAAATACCCTCAGTTCTTGGCATTCTTACTCCTACAGAAATTGCTCTTTTGATAGGAGCGGTTAAACTGGAGAACTTTCCAGRTGGTGAAATGGTGGGTCTAGTGGCGAGCAGGACTGTTTTCCTCTATGCACATTGAGAAAATGCGTAAAATTGAAAGTTTTGGATAAAAAGTGGGGGGAAAGAAGGCTTCAGCCACTGCTAGGTCAGTGTTAATGGTTCAGGTGATCATGTGTCAAGAGATCTTCTTGAGCAAAATGYCTGTGTTGATCACTCAGAGAGGGGAAGAGACTCATGTGAGTGATGTAATGCATAGAAGACATTCCCTTGCTCTTAAATGATCATTTTTAACTCAACTTTGTTTAGCAAGTCAAATGAGAGCACTTTTTTCCTGTGGCTTCTCCTGTAATTAATGAATACAGTGAAAAAAGAAAAATGAAATTCTGTAAATTCAGTCTGGTAAGTAATTTCCGTTGTTGCAGTAACAGCTTGTTCCCTACAAAGTTTAAATGAAAAAGGTGCCCTTGTGGCCTGTCTCATATTGCCATTTGAAGCTGAAGTCATTATTACATATGGACCTTTCAAAACGTTAGCTCAACTATTACAGAAGAGGATGAGGACATAAGGAATTGAGGAAATACAGTTTTGGTGCCTTCAATAACAAGCAYGCCAACTGTAAACTGGAGCTACTGCTGAAACAATTCCAGTGTTTTAGATCCAGCCCAGAGTCCAGATCTTCAGAGTGCAAGGCTGACTTCCCGGGAATTCAGATTTTGGCAAGAATGTTCCAGAATGTGTTTCTTTTCTGTTCCAGATGCAACAAAGTGAAAGCTCGAAAATGTTGTCCTTGTAACAACAGTGGTGTCAAAAAGCAGTTGCACTTGAACATAAATCATTTTGGCTATACTTGCTTGGATTGTTATGTGGGCTTTTTTGTGCTATTTATTTATTTATGTGTTATTTATTTATTTATTTATTTATTTAATGAGATTCTTGACTTGATTTTTTTCTCTCTCTCTTCTTACCCCTCCTCATACCAGAGTGACAGCCTTTCAAGGTAGGTACAATTTAAAGAATTCAGAATTATTACTCTTTTCTGTTCACCTGTCCTGGCTTTTAAATTCTTTATGTATAAATTCAGCTTATGGCAGGCTATGCATTTCACAGAACATGCTGTATACAGTCCCATTCCTTAAAAGTTTTACAACATGAAATCAACATTTACAAAAAAAAAAAAAGATATGGTTCTTGTTGCACCTCTTTTAGGATATTCTCTTAAAATATTTCAAAGAAACCTCAAGAGAAGTACTACAGCCTCTGAAAATCAGATTCCCTTGAGGTTTATTGCAATAAAAATGCAGATAAATAGTCATTATTTTTWAAAAAAGGTTTGTGTTTGTTTTTAGCCTTTTGCAGTTAGTTATTGGGTTTTTCTGTCTGATTCTKCATGAGCCCAAGGAGCTTCACAGAGGAAATGCTTTCCTATGGCACTGTAGCATAGTAAAATGAAACTCAAATCAGCAATGCAGATATTAGTCTGGTTTGCTTAGGCTTTTTGTTTCTTATCGTGGTGATAGCTCCCAAAAGAAATTGGTCTTCACCAGAAAGCAGAATCTTACTGTTAAATTTACAGTTCTTTATTAAATGTCAGTTTTGAGTATCTGYGTGTTAGACCCCTCTGGAAGTAAGGCTTAGTCTTCAAGTGCTGGATTCATATTGAGTAAAGTGTCTATGAGAATGTCATTCTAAATGGGGAAGAGCAAGAAAGCTGCCTCTCTCTGCACTAGAAATGCTAACAGACCTAATGGTAGAGATGGGTGAAATGCCATCCCCGTTTGTATGAAGCATCCAGCCTACAGAAGGCCAGAACTCAACACGATTGAACTGGGGAGTAACTGAACTTAGTTCTTCGCAGTTAAACTTACAGAGCAGTACATATACATTTATCCATTCTTGTTATAACATAGTGTAAAGGCAGATTTATTTGAAGAGGGGGAATTCTGTTTTCCTCTCTCTCTTCATGAAATTATTGACCGTATATGCTGAAAATCTGTCAAATAGAACTACTACAGCACATGATAAATGAAGAACGATCAGTGTAAACACTTGAAATTAGAAATGTACTTATACTTGTTGTAATTTAGTGATAAAATAACTTTCCTGAACTGCTTCTGTTGAAATGTTTGTCTTCATAATAAATACTCTTGAAATCTCCTTGGTTTCACTAATAAAACCTGGAGAATCCAATGTGATTGATGTCTTGGAGATTTCTTTTTTTAAAAAATCAAAATAATACTTTTTAAAAATAAATCTTTTGTTTTTCTTTTTAAATACAAATCAAAGTGTCCAAGCCAATTTAAAGTCCTGCAAGTTCAGTAAATATTTATTTGAATAAAATATTTTAATTCAGGGATTTCTGAACATAAAAACGTTTACATCGACATTTACATCGAGACATACTCTGTAATTTGAGGGAACATAAAAGCTTAATCAAAAGAAGGAGGGCTTAAATAAAAATCTGGATTTATTTTTTCATACAATTATGTATGAAAATATGTATTGGGATAGTTGTTTTTGAAAAAGGCAAATGCACAGTGCCTGCTACAGCGAGTGGTTTTAGCAAAGAGCAGCACCGAGTTTCCTGTTCCAGGTATGATACAGGATCCCTCAGCGTCTCGTCAGGCGACCGCTACGATTCAGCGCAGGGGCGATCGGGCTCCCAGAGCTACCTTGAAGATCGAAAACCCTACGGCAGCAGACAAGAGAAGGAAGATAGCACTGATTTTAAGAAGGTATCTGATCCAACAATTTTGGTGTGAAAATTGATTTGTGTTACTTTTTTTTTTTCCCGTAAATTATCTGGAAATAAGCRTGCGTTGCACCACAAATCCTGCTTAGAGGAAGCCAGCTGAATGGAGGAGCGAAACAACCGTGTGTTGAGGGAATATACATTGCAAAACAGCTTTTGGCTTTCACACTTTTCAGGGGCAAGGGGAAAATCCAAAAGAGCCCAAATCCTTCTTTTTCTTCTCCTTCTTCTTCTTTTTTTTTTCTTTTTTTGCAGATGCCATTAGACTCTTTTTGTGGTTGATTTTTGGTATCATTAAAAATGCTTTACACGTATGTGAAGCCTTTTGTTTGATGTCTACTGCCTTATGTACATATGATATAAATATTTAGATCTTGCTTCAGAATAGATGAGAAGCTTGTCAAAAGTTTACTGTGGTGTCTAATCTGTAGAAGTCTGAAGTGAAAAAGTGGCAAATATTTTCTAAAGTGTAAGGTAAGTTGCGTGTTCCTTGTGCAAAGTTGCATGTTCTAAAGAAATTTGGTAGCAGGAAGATGGTTCTACAAAGTGTTTGCTAAGTCAAAACATCTTTAAGCTCTGTAATACACGCTTTGCTACTCCTTGGACTGTTACTGTATTCTTTTTTTTTCATGTGCAGTTCAGTTTTGTTTTTTAAATGTTTCAACCAATCTAGCTACAGAAAAATGCATATTTATTAAATGAATATTTTCTCTTAGCTTTATGAACAGATTCTAGCTGAAAACGAAAAACTGAAAGCACAGTTACATGATACCAACATGGAACTTACAGATCTTAAACTACAGTTGGAAAAGACCACTCAGGTTTGTATTAACCAAAAAAGACTATTTCTCCAGCAAAGTAGATGATAGCAAACTAGAAGCCCATCAAGAGATTGTCCACTTTTTGCTAGACATCAGCATCATGTTTCCTATCCAAARCTAGGGGAGAAGTAGAGTAGCTCTCACTGTTTCTAGAGGAAGAAGAGCAGAGGATCTGATATTCAGCTGGGAATAACACATACATGGCTGCCTCCTGCTTTTTCAATAGAAGTGGTTTTTACCAGCCTGTATCAGGAATTTCTTTGCAGTATGTGGAAAAAGACTTAACACGTAGTTAAGTTTATGTTCAAAATGTCAGTCTGGGTTGGTTGATTAATTCAGAAGCCTGCTAGCAGATTGGCATAACCTGCTAGTTCTTCCTGGCTGGTTAGGTTGCCTTATGTTACAGCTAAAGAGTAAATAGTGCCCTCCACTTAAATGACAGATAGCTGCTCACAGATAGCACTGCTGCATACAGTATGTACACGGAACTGAAATACTTCTTCAATTGCTGTAGTAAGAACATTTCCCATATGATGCCAGCCCCAATTTAGCTGTGTGTGTACTTCAGTGCCTTCCATATGCGCCCTGTAAATACCAGTAAAGTACAAAAAGGTTGTTTTGTAATACTTTTAGATGGAAGTATTGCTTTACTCCTATTTGCCAAAGGCTGTGTGAAGAGATTAAATTACTTGGGAATGGTCATGGACAAAGTGCTTGATAAATCCGGTTCATTCTTCTTTATTTTTATTTCAATATTACTTCCTTGAATATATTTTAATAAGCTTTTAAAGACATATGGATTGAGACAGAATACAGTGGTTGCCCTAAGCTAAAACATTCTACCCATATTGCTTTTCCTCAGTTTGGTAATTTTCAGAACACATCCCAGTGTCATTATTAATTTTGTATTTCAGAGACAAGAAAGATTTGCTGACAGATCACTCTTGGAAATGGAGAAAAGGGTGAGTTTCTGCCAAAAACTCTTTAAGCACTCTAATTCGAACTTTATTTTGATTTCTTTTGCAAATGCTGGTGTTTATTTTAGTGGGAACTGAAGCCTTTCTTATGACTTGCATTTTTTAGACGATCTGGGGATTTTAGCATTCAGCCTGGCAATAAATGTGCGRTGCTGTGAGGTGGGATTACTCTAAGGAATTGCCCCCAGATCAGGCTTGTCAGCGTGTGGCGACGCGGTCCTGAACTCAGCTACTTCCCCAGCCTYTGCTGCTGTTGCTCTTGTCCCAGAACAACGTCTGGCACCCGACAGAGTTCAGTGAACTCAGAGCCTCTTAGTGCAGTTCCAGCATTCAGAGATTTACGTTTGCTCAAGACTTTCCGGAGGCACCTGTGCCATTCTACCAGTTACTACTGGTAATGAAGTGGCTGTTTCTATCCCCTAGCCATCAGACTTTAGACCAGGTAGTGATGTAAGATTAAGCATAATCGGTCTACTACCTTTTCCCAAGGGAGTATGGCGCTGGAAGGGATTAAACTGATGAGCAGGGTGAGAAGAGGGATATCGGGCTCTGAGGTGAGCCTCCTCTGGGATAGGAGGCTCATGTAATAAATGGATGTGTGAGGTAGAGTGTGGGATTTTAGAAGTTAGGCACATGACACTTGTAGGCTGCTGTTTCATACTGGTTTAAAATCCAGCCTTGTAATGGCTTAGTTCTGCAGCAATTTACAGCAAAATAGATGGTACTCTAAAGGTGGTTCTGGCTTCCAGGGTGTCCTTGGCCACACGTGCCTTTCTCCTCCCGATGCTGATCTTAATGCTCACTTGATCCTGGAGTGACACATTAGATAATTAAACAGGAAGAAAAATAATAACCACCACCAACAAAAGTGGACTTTGGCATTTATAAGTGATATGGTACTTCACAGGCAGCAGCTCAGTTACTGGCTGCTSGTAGCTCTCCAATATTTGAGGTTTAGGAAGCAGTGTTTAATTCTGCGAGCTGTATAGGAAGCAAGTAAACAGTAGGTGAATTTTATAGGAGAGTATGGAGATGTAGCCATGCTCACAGGTACTCCTGAAGTTCCAGTATGTTTATCTCAGTCATCATTTCAGGTAATTATAGTGGCCTTTCAGCACCCATTTCTCCTTGATTATTTTTTTTTTTGGCTTTTCCATCCTGCTGTAGGCAATGATTTCATCAGCGGAAAAGTTTCATCACCAGTTTTAATAAGTTTCTTGCATGCTACCRTGACCACACAAGTGGCCGTTTTTAATTATTTCATAGATATGCAGCAGCATCTATTACTACATGGAATACCAAGCTGCAGGTTATGTAATACTGCCTAGTCTGACATTAGAAGTTACTGCTTTGCTCCTTCCCAGTATAAGCTGTTGCCTGAGAGAATTGGCTGTACTGGGAATTCCTGTTCCTTTTCCTTGTAGGAGATACTTAACCCAATAGCAAATTGTCTTCTAGAACTGTTACTTTTTCTAAAGTCATTTCTAGCTAAGTTGGCAGATAAAAGAGATAAACAAAATTAGTGATACTACTTTGTGGCTGAAACCTGATTTACAACAGATTTAGAAGCTTTGCGGTTTACAGTTTCAAACTTCATTCTTTGCAGACAAGTATTTAAAACAGGATTTTAGTCGTAGTTGTTTCTTCCTTTATTTTCTTCTCCCTTTTGTTTAGAATAAAAGTTCTAGTACAATGAGTACTGCTCAAAACACTGCGGAAGAAGGAATAAAACTACTCTCTAGTAGTATTTGGCTTAGACTTCAGTTCCTTCTTTACAGCTGTGTCAGAGGAGCGAGTGCAGAGGCTGGGACATCGACAGGCCCCAGTCTTTCCTACTAACATTCCTAGTAACCAGACCACGAGAGTGATGAGATACAGAAGCATCTGCCAGTAGGTTCCTTTCAGGAGAAATTCCATTATTTATAATACAGCATGGTGAAAATCCGGAGTTAGGGAAATCAAAGAAACCAGAGTCTGAAGGAAGCTTCTCAGATGCTCGTSATCAATACTGACCCCAGAATAAGCTTGCTAAATTCAGTGCCAATTGTCTGGGAATCTTGAAGGATAATTTTAAAGACACCTCTCTTTATGTGTGTATTGTGAGGGTTTACATTTAAAAGACCTACATTTTCCCAATATAAGACTTCACTGAAGTAAAACTAAAGTTGAAGATGTGGATGCAGACGCGTAGAAAAATAGGGAGAGGAAAACTAAGATGCTGAGAATAAATGTGGAGCAATAAAAGGCTGGACAGGCACTGCAGGAAAAAAATGAAGCTGAAGGCATCTGCAGTGATGTTTTAAGTGGAAAGAGAGTTTATCAGTRAAGAAGATAGAAAAGTGTATTAAACACACATTTCTTTTAATTCTATTACCCTGAGTTTCTAAGCTTTGAACATTATTTAAGCTCAGCCTTCAAAAGCAGGTCTGCATGATGTGATTTGGTGATACGTCAGTGTGAGTTTATTGGAAATTGAGTACAAGGAGGAGGCTCTCTACATGGATATGGGTGAAAACATCTGTTCAGAGTGCAAAATCCTAGCAAAATAGGGAGTTCATTAAGAACCTGTCACTCTTGAAAGTGCTTTAAAGTCCCTCACAAGTGCTGTGTGGGATTTCCTGTTAATTTGAGGAAAACTGACATTGCAAGGTTTTGATCCGGTTCAGAGTCACAGGCACCCTTAACCAGCTCCTCCCAGGTTTAGAATTTGTAATTTGGAAATTTGTGTTGAGGAGGATCATTTTGGTTTTGCTGAAATGTACAAGAATGTGTAGGTTATTACCATAGGGGCAGTTTTTGAGCTGCGTGAATCGGTGTGCCTTGATGGCACCACGTCAGGCCTGCACTCCCTACATATTTTTGATAAGAACAAGTCACTTGGATTGTCTCGTGTACCCTGAGAAACAGGCACATGCTTTTTCATGGTTAGGACAGCAAGGAAATCGTATTGTGCTCTGGTGTGGGCATTTCTCAGGCCAGGTCCTAAAAGAGCCRGGGAGGGGTACAGCTTCACCCAGTCTGACGCCTTGCCCTTGGGATTCTGTTGCTTGAGGCTGGAAGGGACCTCTGGAGATCCTCTAGTCCAGCCCCCCTGCTCCAGCAGGGACACCCCGAGCACGGGGCGCAGGGTGAACTGATGGAAGGGACACAGATGAGCAAAGGCAGGGAGCTTGGCTGAGCGTGATGAGCTGTGCAGTGGCACAGTGGGTTATTCGCACATTAGTGACCTGCTTACCAAAAGGCMTAATAATCAGAACATTTCTTAACAATAAATCCCATATCTAGGTGAGACCACTGAAATGTTTCTTTCACAGAATGTGAAGTATACAGAGTTAATTAAGGTCTTAGAAAAGTGCAGCATACCCTGCTGAACAAACACATCCAAAGGACTTCAGAATGTGTATTTACAGAATTGGTTTTCTAGCCACACGACCTTTTTTTGATTTATTTAATCTCTGGGTAATTTCAGGAATTTTCCAATGTCGCTTAGCGTAAAAGCACTGCTAATATTATCCTGTAGTTGTACATTACCAGGTAGCTGGGGCAGTTCTAAGCAATGTAGGGTGGGTTGGGTTGTTTTGTTAGGCACTCGCTTACTGCAGGCAGCTCACTAGTACTTACTGTGCCCATTACTGCCAGTCAGTGCCATTATGGTAAAATCCAGTGATCAGAAGAGTTAAGGACAGCAAGTACTAACACCTGCAGTAACCTGTGATTTTGTTAAGCCATTACYTTAGATGTGTTTTTGCTAAAATGAGAAAATGTTGGGGAATAACTGCGCTCTGATTAAACTAAATTCAAATGATTTGTATCTGAAAGGTGACCGGCAAGAGTCAGTATCTCCTGGGCGGTATGATCTAACCCAAGTTTTAAACACCTCAGGCCATGCTGCTTGCTGTTTGCCTAGCACCGTTGTATGCGGCTGCGTATGGACACTCTGCAATAATAACCTGTTGCTTTTGCCTTGCGCACCGGGGAGAGCCCTGAGCGCCGAGCGCGGGGCAGCGGCCGCTGCTGCGCGGCGAGACGCGGGCGGCCCCGGGCTGCCCTCCACGGGAGAGACCCCGCTCCCCGCGAGCCCGCCGCCCGCGCCAGGACCTGCCGTGCTCGCAGGCAAAAAGGGAAAAAAAACATGGATATATATACCAGAAACGCAGAAAATATTCCGGAAACGGTTCCTCAAGAAGCAGGGAGTCCCTTGGGGCTTACATTTCTCGGGTGCTCAGCGGTGCCCGTTTAGTGTAGCTGTGGGTACCTGCACTGCGTTGCAGTCTGTGGTCTGGGCAGGTCCGAGCGAGCTGAGGCAGATGTTTCAGCTGCGTTTGCTTGTCTGTGGGAGCTCACGCTTTTGTGCTTGTTCCTTGTTTGTTTCTGATCATTTTCTGCATTTCTTGTATATTACGCTGTTAGGAAAACCTGGCTTACTGAAAAATAAAGCCAAACAAACTCTACTTCCCAACTGGCTAAATCTGAGTAAAGGAAGGGGTATATTTTATAGGATTTGGTGTCAATTTTAATATCTCTTCCTCCTAAGAAATTAAAATTCAATATTGTTATACTTTCTGTACATCACCGCCATCACAAGTTTCCTGTCTACGCTGTGCTTTTGGTTGTAYGATCTTTGAAACTTGAAGTATTTCACTATCATCACAGCATTTACGAGAAATAAATTTTTAAAAAGAGTATTGTTCAATATTAACACATCTTTTGATTTAGGAAAGAAGAGCTCTAGAAAGAAGGATATCTGAAATGGAAGAAGAACTGAAAGTAAGTATGATTGGACTGTAGACAACACAGGGTCAGTGGCTGTTATCAATACATTGCCTGGTAGTAGCGTTAATGCTATTCACTAGAAAAGAAGTAAATCATAGTCACTTTTCCAAATTATTTATTACATGTAAGTTGTGTTGAAGTTATTTGGCATCAGCAGTCTCACACGTCGGATATTTTCTAAGAAAGTTTTGAGACTTAAGCTTCTGTAAAAGATTGGCCACCAGAAACATTCAGAKATGCCCAAGGTGAAACATAGTTTAATTAAGACAGAATATCAGTCTCTGGTTTCAATGCGATGCTGTGTATTTTTTAATTTAGAAATACCGATAGCATATAGTTCTATAGATAGTTAGGTATTAAATGTTTCTTCGGCCTCTGTGTCGTGATCTCTAAACTATGAATTGGAAAGAATAGTTTTGCCAGCAACCAAAGAAAAACCATTTCTTGTAAAGAGTGAATGGATTTCCATTTTTCTTCAGCTGCACATGAACTGAGTCCCAGCAGGGAACCACTTCTGTAGTACTTTCCCTGTGTATTTTTTCAATCAGTCCTGCTATGGGTTTCCTCCTTCTCCACTTCACCACTGTTAAACCCTCTCATGCAATTCAAGTGAGTGACAAACTTGGCAAATTTGTTCTGTGCTCTAGGATATGATTGGATAGGTCCAAGAGAACTGACAGAATTAAAGTGTAACTCAAAATCTACTGCGACATGATGAGATAGAAAATACTTTTGGCCTCTGTAATTTTGCAGGATTTTATCATCACTGTTCTGACATCTGCTGCATGTCATTGATTAGTCAATTTTCCTTGGAAGCTCGTTTTTGAGCTCCCTCTGGTGCTCGGAAACTGCATTAGCTTCCAAATACTTTTCCCTGAAATACGGGCAGTTAATAACTTGTTGGTGGTGTAGTTGATGTTGAGTGGCAGTCGTAGGCAAAGGCAGCCAGGGCGTCTCTGGCTGCTCTGGATTCAGGCCAAAGCAGTTCACTGTGGTGGAGGCTACAAAGTGTGAGGTCKCTGGGGGGGCTCTTGAAGTGTGGAAAATGCAGAAAGCAAACTGGAATATAGGGAAATGATTGTCCCTAAGAGTGGGAGGCAGAAGATAGGAGCTCTTATCATCAGCCTTTAGATTACTGTTGGGGGTGGCTGGGGGTTGTGAGAAAATRAAACATGCAAATAGCTGCCTTTATGGAAAGCTTCCAGTAAGCAACACAAGCACAAAGGTTTTGAATTAGAGATTAAAACCTAAGATCCAACCAGAAGATTAAAATCTTCTTATGATTTGTTGTGCTGTCATGTAAAAGTATATGTGAAATATGTAAGTAGTCTCAGACATTTGAATACAATATTTAGTGTGTGGAATTAGGATGTTAAGTAAAGAATTCCAGGAATAACTCTCATTGTTAATRTATCCTGGACTGTTTTGGAAAGCTCTGACTAATCACTGCTGCTTCTTAGATTACTTTGCAAGAATGTGTCACTTCTTTGATGCTTTCCTTTCACAGGCAGTTATCTACTTTAAACAGGAATCCCTCTTTTAAGTTTTCTTTCAATTCTGCTCATCTCTAGTTCTTTTAAATGTAATACACGTGTTTTATTTCTCTTGCTTTCACTCCTCTTTCTTTGATTCCTGCAGAACCTACAGCCAATAAAGCAGATTCAGTCTTTGAGACACATAAATGAGCAACTGGTGGCTGAGAATAGGGCCTTGGCCAGAGTGCTTGCCAAGCTGCCAGGGCCCCGTAGGCAGCTGCGCCCCGTGGACTCGTGATTTCTGCCTTCTCCTTTGCGTGGCCAGGCAGGTGCTGAGCCCGGTGTGCGGGGCAGGGGCTGCCGCTCGCGGACGTGGCGCTGGGCGCGGGGGCCTTGGTGCTGCCTGTCCCTGTCCCTGTCCCTGTCCCTGTCCCCGCGCGCTGCAGCCCGCGGCCACGCGGGAGCCCCTGGCCCTGCTGGCAGCCAGCAGCACCCGTGGGCGCGGGAGCTGGCGCTAGGATACCCTCGAGTCACTCCCAAGTTTTGGTACGTATGGAGCCCTCACGCTGGGAGGTTTGACCCTGGTTTTCCCGCGTGGAGAAGTTAAGGCTTGAGCTGCCTCCCTGCAGTAGAGGCAACAGGCGCAGAATTGGAGCGAATGCAGCGTGAGCTGAGGAATGCCCGGGAGCGCTTGGCAGTTCTGCACTAGCAGCACTAGCAKCTTGCTGCCCTGCATCACTGCGCCTAGGGCAGCAGCCTCTGCTYTTCTTGGAAACCCATCGGAGATTCCATGCAATTCACATTTTCCTATATGAACTTCCTGTGGTTCTGGACACTCCTTATCTTTCCCTTGGGGGCCTCAGGCCAAGCTTGGTGCTAAGGTCACACACGCAGCCCTTGCAGCTGTGCGCCAGGATCTGGTCACACAGGGACGATGACACCCAAAGAACAGCCCCGCTGCTGTGGATGGGTCACCGTGCCCGTGGGGACGTCCCCGGGGTCTCACTGCCCACAGGGATGTCCTGAGCTCCTCTCACCACGGGCGGCAGCTGCCCGAGGGAAAAGGAGGCAGTTTCCCCTCTGCACAGGGCTCTTGCTGATCTGCCCTCCCCTCAGCCTTCGCTCGTAGAAGCAGACGTGGGTGGGGAGGTTTCCTGGGGTCACATCTTGGGCAGGGCAGCAGGGCCTGTTCCTGCAGTGCCTCGGCCCATCCATCTCAACCTCACCGTCCACAAGYTTTCTATAGCCTTGACTTGGCCATTTTGTACGGAAAAACTGTTAGCTCCTCCAGCAAACACAGACTTTGTTCCTGTTGTACACAGCTGGGCTGGCTCCACATGGCAGGTGGTTGTTGAATAATTGTTTGCTCAGCTACCAAGGCTGCAAAGTTACCAGCTACTCATGTCGTGCACATAGGTAAAATAGTGCGTTTGTAACTCTACTCAGAAACCTCCTCACAGAAAAATACTCTGTTTTGTCAAAGCAGTACTGAAAGCAGTACTGAGTGCAGTATATGGCTGTAATTTTGCTGAGTTTACTGCTAAGSTCCTTTTTCTGTCTCTACATGGTAAAGGTTTGTGGTGTCACCTCACAGGAAGTTTTAGTACCGTAGGAATTTGCTATGCCGAGAAAATTGTATAAATATCTTTGGCTTGGCTTAAAGCACTTTAGGATTAGTGTAGATGGGAATTGTAAGCATTTTAGTTATGCTCTTTGCATTTATCCTTCCCGATCAGTCTGTTGTTACTCATAACTGCCTTTGTCTGCTATCACTTTTCCCATATTCTTTAGCAGATTCGCTAGCAAAAGAGCAAATATTTTGTTAATGCATACTCCACATCTTAGTTTAATCAGGATTAAAGCCTATTGAGGGACTCTCAGACTATGGAATGGTCCTGGATTACGCTAAGGCTCTGACTTTGAACAGAGGCTGCTTTGTTAGGGCAGGCAAACCAGCAGAAAGGGCTGGCGTGCGGGTCGGCCTGAGCGCTGGCCCTGAGCTCCCTGGCCAGGGAGGACCCGGGAGGCTCCGCGCGCGCAGCGCCTTTCGCCCCTCCTTTTCCCAACAGAACCTGCCTACTCTCCAAACAGGGCTCCGGGAGCTGAGGGCATCCGTTCTCGGGAGCAGAAGAGTTTTACACGTGTGCACAAGTGTGCACGCAGTGGAGTCCTCCTCCGGGACACGGTTGCTTCCTTCTCCTCTTCTCCTGCCGCAGGTGCCCCGTTCTGTCCATGGAATGGCAGCATCTCCGCGTATTCTAGAATTCCTCTCCCTGCTCAGTGTGTGGGTCCGTGTCTAGCTCACACTGCCCAAACATACAGAATACAGAATTATTTCCTCAGGGTATATTTGTAAATTTTCTCACCGCATCGTGAGTTTTGCAAATAGTAATTTGGTGTTCCTTCCTATAGGCGTGTGACACAACATGGTGCTATTGCCCTGTTTTATAGCTGAGTAAACATGGCACAGGTCACTGGAATTGTCAGACGAATTACTCAAGTTGTCCTATTTCAAATACTTGGAGATCATTTTTTGAAAGAATCGTCRTTTTCCAGCCCTTTGTGCTGGGAACACGGTGCTCACCTGGCTCCGAGTGAGCTCGCAGGCTGAGGGCCTCAGCGGGGCGCTCTGGGAAGAGCCCCATTTGGCGGCACCTCCGGAGCCYCCCGAGCAGGGGGGCAGCCCAGGTCAGCAGCAGACGTGTAGGTGCCCGAGCTGCACAGGTGACTGCGCAGGTGACTGCTCTTCACTGAGCTGCCCCGAGCTGGCCCTCGTGTGGGGGAGAAAGTGTGCGAAAGAAGCCTGCTCTGTAACGTTACTTCTTGCTGTGTTCAGTATTCTCCATTCCTTCTGTTCAGTAGTAGTGTTTTGAGCATAAAGGGGTAAGGAGTATAACTTCTTTAGAATAAAATGAGAACAAAGCTAGGGGGAAGGAAATTTTAGCCCGGGAGACTATGTCGCTGTCACTACGTAGATGAGCAGTTGGACTTGGACCTCTTGCACGCCCGAGCACTGGAGGTTACTGAGTAACCCTCTGCAGGAATGGGCTGGGGCCTCCTGTGCAAACCAGCCACCAGAAACACACACGTGGTTTAGCCAGGGGTTCGCAGGTGCCTCGCTGTCCATCCTGGAGAATGTCTGAGATTCTTCCAGTTCCTCCAGCTAGTCTCCTGGTACAGAGCTCTGTGCGCTGACCTGTCCTCCCTTCCTGCCTGATCTTGTGCAGCGCTCACCTCACTCGGCTCCCTCCTTCCCTTYCCTTCCCTCTCCTCCTGCCTTCCCTCCAGCCTCGGAGCTCGCACCTCGCCTGCCTCCTGTGGCAGCCCTGATTTGCCCTCTTGCAGCCTGGCGTGTCGGGGCGAGCGCAGTGCCTGTGACCATCCTGCTGCCCGCTCGAGTCCGGGCACGGGCGCCTGAACAGACACACGGCCAACATGATGAAGTGCTGGGAGCCAATGGGCTCAAACACTTGCCGCCCCRTCCGCGGCAGCCTCGGCCAAGGACGCCGTGAGAGACAGGATTAGTCATGGTGTTTTGTTTTGAAACAGAGCAAGTGTAGCATAGACAGGCCTCTCTAAATCACCACCAATAAAAACGCTGTTGGATTTTGCACCTCCGGCATGTGAAGCGCTGAATTACTTCCCTCGTGCTGCTGTAACTGCTGATGTGTGGAGGCTTCTCCTGCTCTCCTGTTTTATAGTGCATCCAGTCTGAGTGTATGAAAGTCCTAATCTCTGACTCCTAACTGTGTCGTACTAAAAGGTGAGAGTTTTCTGAACTGCCACTAAGGGGACAGTAACTGCCAAAGCACTTACTCTGCCTAGAGGTTTTTATGTGCTGTGCGTGTCTCACCTTGCAGCCTTCGTTTGGGGTGTAGTAACAAGTAACCACTGTGTTTCGTTCCCTGTAGATGCTTCCAGATCTGAAGGCAGACAACCAGAGGCTAAAGGATGAAAACGGGGCCTTGATCAGAGTTATAAGCAAACTTTCCAAATAAAGGGTTTACTGCAGCAGCAAATCACGGTATTGCACATCACTAGTAACTCCAGTGGACCATAGTGTGGCAGTCACTGGAAGTGTGGGAAGATCCCCTGGAGACTGTCATTTTCAGATATCCTGCCAAACGCCCTCTTACGTGTATGTTTTTTTGTATCAAGATCATTGTTTCTGTTAAAATGCAGCTGCTGAGAAGATAAAATGACTGAGAAATCTTGTTTACAGCTACAGCGTAATAAGGAAAGTGTTCAAGGCCAGATACGCCTCAGATATTTAACCAGTAAGCCTTAGTTGTACATAAACACTTTTACATCAACAAAAGCTTTCAGCTCTCACAGAAGACAGTTACTCAATAACGTTTTTGTTGTGCCACAATTCCCATTTTTTTTTCTATACTCAGTTTTTCTTTAAATCTTAAGTTTGGATTTGTTTTTGTTTTTTCCCTTCTAATTATTCATGTACCAGATTTTCTTGTACAGTGTTTTCACAGCTTTACCATTTGCAGAGACCACACACCCTTTTAAATTACATATTTGTGTAGCTACCTAGAGTTGTGTTGTCCAGCCACCTGGAACAGAGATGTTTGGTGGAACATTTGCTTTCACTGTTTGTGCAATATGCATTTATTTCCTATACAAAATGCTTTAAAAGTCAGTTGAAACTAGAATTATTTTAAGAGTCCTGTTTTCTTCCTTTATTGGTCACTTTAAAAAAAAAAATTTAAAAAAAAAAGAAGTTTGTAGTGAGAGATGTTAGATCCTGTAACTGTCACGTTCATTTGAGCAGGTACTGAGTGATGCTGTATATATAAATGTGTACTGGTTTGATTTTTCAGACCACCACGTGGCATGCTTGAATATATTTCCCTATTGCAAATGTCTGTTAATGCAATTAGGCTACTCCAGAATAGTGTGTTTAACAAAGTTCATTAATTTTTATGGTATAAAGGATTTAGACATTGTACATTGTATGGAGCCCTATCTTTGCAAAAGGTCTAAACTATATAAAATACTTTATTATCTTTTCCTCCCATTTTTTTTTCATTTGATAGTGTTCACCATAATAAAAATTGCATAAATATAACTGCTTCACTACATTTCACATACCTGTATTTATCTGAGTGCTGTCCAAAACTGTTGTGCTAGCCAAAGTAATGTTACTAAATCATTGAAAAACGTAACCCATTACACTCACATTAATGTTTATATGCACTGTTGTTGCCATGTGAGAAGGCATCTAATTTGATAACACCATCATGTCAGACCATTTTATACATTTCAGTGGCCTTTAAAAACGAAACAAGTACTTTAAGTGAAGATCGCTTTTGTTAGAAACAAACAGCTTTTATATTTTCACTAAACCATTCAAAATATGACATCTTATTGGCACATAGTTCATTGCCTAAAACCACTGAACAGATCAGCCATTAAAACAAATTGTACATTGTAAAGCTTGTAGTAGCTATTGTATTATTGATTATATTGTATACTATATTAAATGTGAATTTGTACCCCTTCGTTTAAAAAGGTCATTGTGTCCTACTGCCTACTTGGGGGGCCGGGGGTAGTTTTATGGGGGTGGGCTGCGTTTTGGTAAGGAAGACATGATGTCCTCTCTCTGTTGATTGGTTTTTTGAAGATGTAAGGTTATGCTCTTACTACCAAGCTCAGGATTCTTGATTTTAAAGGTACACGGATAGTTTGAGGTATCTTGTTGTAATGGATCTGTGTGAGAGGTGGCTCTGAAACCACAGGGAACTTCCCTTGTCGCGTGCTAACGTCAAATGAGCAACGGATTGAACAGTTTGAATGGCTGCAACGTATTGAGTTCTGTTACAAGACAGTTAGGCATATTCTGGATTATATTTGGTAAAGTTTGGGTGCCTGTGAATGATTAAATACGTGTTTCTAATATTTTAGTGTTTTATATTTAGGTTATTTATTCTTTATATCTAAAAAAAAAAATGAATGGCTACTGTGCTATATTGATTTTATTGGTAGTACTGAGCAGACCTTGTATCTGCATGAAACTAGTTGCAAAACCCACTATTTTGGAAAAAAAATGTATTTTGACATATACAAATAAAATGAATACAAACTATTTTAAATGTGTGAAAGTTTTACTGAAAAGACATTGAAATTTGTTATGAATTTAAACCATGTTATAAGTTTGCTATTTAAAATTCTTGGGGCATTTTTCATTCATTGCGTTACTCGGATGCAAAGTTCAAGTACTTTTCGAAGATTGTAATCAAGTTGTGACTATTTGCACATCGTTGTACATGCACATCTGTAAATGCAACAGTAAAAAATGCCATATTTATGCAATCTGTAACAACTTGGACAAATGTTTTTATATTTTACATAAACCTGTCTGTGTGCAGAATCTGCGAACCCTTTTTTACGCGATACCCCCTGAACGTGCAGAGGCGGCCGCCGCAGGGCGCACAGGCCACGTAGGCCGCACAGGCCGCGAAGGCCRCACACGGCCCCGGCCCGTTCGGGCCTGCGGCTCTCAGGGCTGCCTCACCTGGCGGCTATTTCCAGCTGTAGCCGCTATCTAGAATAAAAGGCTTTGGAGTTGGAAGGACCTGCCGTCCTCGGCATGAATGGTTTCCTTCAGGCCTTCCCAGTTCTTCCCTACCTCTCTCAGCCTTCTGCTAGTGCCCAGAGAGCCTCCAACATGAGTAGTTCTAATTAATTAGTATTTTCCTTCCCGCTTGGTGCATTTCTTTGCGTTTCTTTGCCCAGTGCACAAGGGTCTCAGTGCCTCTGTGCTCCAGAGCAGTCCTCTGTGCGATGCTCGGGTTTGTGTTCGGAGGAGCCGTCAAACAAAGCGGTTTGGTCCTGCTGTGTGGGTGTTCATCTCGTTCAAGGTTAACGCCAGCCACTAGGGCTGGYGTTTTGGTTTGGTTGGGTTGGGTTTCTTAAGAGAACATGTGTCGCGCTCTGGTGTTGTTTCAGAAAAGAAACAGGAAATATTTGCATGCCATCCTATGGAAGGGAGAAAAGAACAGCTTTGAGGGAGCTGCGGCTACCCGCGCTAGGGGAGAACCGTCTCCTTTTCCTTCCTGCTGCGGCCCTGCAAGGCGGCTCCTCGCGGCCTCCCTCCCTGCTCYGCGGGCAGCAGCGACGCTGCCATTCAGCAGCGAGCGGCCACCCCGAACGGGGWTGTCGGCGAGTCCCAGTCCTTAAGGTTGGAAGGGACCTCTAGAGATCACCCAGTCCAACCTCTGCTCCAGCAGGGACACCCAGAGCACGGGGCACAGGGCAGCATCCAGGCGGGTTGGGAAGATCTCCAGAGAAGGAGATTCGACAGCCTCCCTGGGCAGCCTGTGCCAGGGCTCTGTCACCCTCACTGTCAGGAATGTTTTCCTTAAGTTTCTGCGGAACTTCTGGTGCTTCARCTTGTGGCCACGGGTCCTGCGTGGCCCGGCCACGGGGCTGCCCCTGCGCAGCCGCTGAGCGCGGCCCGGCGGGCAGGAGCTGCCGGAGAGGGCTTTAGTCAGACTGAAACTTTGTTTTCCCCTCCGAGCTGCCTCGTCACCGGCTCCGAACTGAGGTAATGTAGCCGTGAGGCAGAGCGGAGCCGCTGGGTAGATCTGATACTGCTCTTGTGCAACTGATGGGTTCACGTAAGGTTTGGAGATGAGATTTAGTTTCCAGTTCTAACAGGAAAAGGYGACACTGATTCACTGGATAAAAGGCAAACTGCTGCCATGCAGACGTAGCACAGTTCTGCGTGGAGCCTGTTTTTAAAGGGAGCGGGGACRCAGCTGTGGCTGCACTGGGGAGCGCTGCCCTCCACCTCCCACCCTCAGCTTCCCTGTGACTTTTCCTCCAGTCTTGGGACTGCTCTTTTTGCCTAAATGGCTCATGAAATAACCGTAATCCTTCACTGCTAGAATAGCTTGGGTAGAAGTCGCAGTACAGACATTCTGTGACTTCTTAAGCAGAAACCTCCAGAAGCTTCTAGTCCCAGTGCCAGAAGATTGTGGTAATTCTTTTTTTATTATTATTTTTTTTAAAAAAAAAGGATATATTGGGGGTTTTAAATCCTAGAATAGCTTTGCAGGAGGCCTGCTACTCATATCCATGGAATTACAATTTCCCCCCCTCTGGAAACAGCCAGTCTGTTTTGGGATAGAGGAGGCAATTTTCCTCCAGTTTTTCAAAAGCAGTTGTCGCTCCTCGTGATTATGCCCACATTGTTAACATTTAGCAGCAGTGATTCAGCCTCCTTGGGTTCTTCGCTCGAAGCCACTAATAACAAGGGCAGGAGCTGCCGGCGAGCCCGGTTATTTGCTTTTTATTTGCTCTACATTTGTTTTGGTTGCAAGAGCGGCAGCAAGAGCAGCAGGGCCTGGCCCGGCCTGGGCCCAAAGGTGCCTGCGGATCCCTGCACACAAGGCAGGATTAAAGAAGAGAAAAGGGCCCAGAAACCACAATGAGCTGCTCACCCTTTAAAGGCAGAGCTGCTGCCACACTGATGAAGTCATCGGCTATTCGTGCTTGTGTCAGCACCTCCCCATTTTGTATTACTGATTAGATAGGAAAAGTATGTGGCCTTTGGAGAAAGGAGGAACTGTTCGGGGCTTTTTTTGTCTAAAAACATCACCTGTTGGCTGTCTAGCGTTTCTGATCTGGCCCCGAGTAATTGCAGCAGGGACAAAAGCCCCGCATTCTTGGCGGGGCCGTGCCCGGCTGCCTGTCCTGTCCTGGAGCTCAGCAGGAGGAGGTCGCCCGCGCTGCGTGGTCGGACCCCCAGCTCTGCCCTGCTTGCCCTAGCAGCCCTGCCGAGCCACGCTGCCCCCCAGCGCTTCGCCTGGTTTGCGGAAAGGAGAGAAACGGGAGGGAGCGGGTGAGATGAACCTATTTGCTCCACTGATAAAGTATTTTTGGGATTCCACCTCTTCCGCTCGTTCYGCAAAGGAGCTTGTTTGTGGGAGAAATGACTTCCCATCTTTCAGTGTTAGATTGTTCATTTGGATGTCTTGTGCATAGCAAGAGAAGGAATTTAGAAAGAGCGTTCCTCACTGATAGGTATTCCCAGTAAAGAAGCATCTTTTTAATGCAAATAGGGAGCTTTTCWCACCACTTCTGAAAGCTCAGATCCATCTGTTAACCTTCTGGCTTAATTAGAAAGGCTTGGCTTTCCCTGTGACTCCATGAGCCTAAGTTTCCTCCTAGCTATTCTAAAGATCACAAAAATACGTTGTGCATATTCTCACAATGCCAACAAATCATTAAGGGGACAGTACTGACCGTGAACTATCATGATAATAAATTGGGATAATAAATTGGGAAGTGGCTAAGGAAAACGTGTATTCAAACTGAGGGCAAAAATGGGCTCCAGCCAAGGTAAGGGAGCAGGGCTAGAAAAGTCAGAAGTAGAGGGATCGCAGCGACCTGGTTTACACACGTGYATCACATCCCCCTCGGCACGGGGTTGCCCCCAATCCCCTTCTCTCCTTTGCCCCAAAAGAAGCCCCGAAGAACAGCAGCCCTGTTGCTGTCCCTGTTCTGAGCCTCTGCTTTGACGGCCCTTCTCGCTGGAGCTCGGACAGGGCAGGCCTGGTGTCGGGGGCTCACTGCGCTTGGGGGAGCACCCCGAATACACCCTGCATCCCGTGGCTGTAACAGCCCATAGCTCCAACTGTTCCCAGCTCCGGTCTGTTTTCGGCTACAGGAGGAAAAGCAAAATGCACCAAGTTCTTCCCTGCCGCTTAGTCTATGGCCGCAGCCGCCGTGCCTTGTCCTGCGAGGGGCCCGCAGCACCTCGCGGGCTCGGCGCGGAGGCGGCAGCGCGCTGCCAGCGCGGCCGGCTCCTGCAGGCTGCCATTAGGCGCCCGCTCATTGCCACGCACGGCGGGGCGGCCGCGCCGGCGGGACACAGGGCCTGCGGGCAGCGGGGCGGGCTGCTGCCCGGGCCGGGGCCGGGGCCGGGCGCGCTGGCGGAGGCGCTCGCAGCCGCGCGGCCGAGCCAGGAGGTGGCACCAGGAAGCCGCTCCCGCCGCTCCCGCCGCAACGTCCCTCGGGCGCCGCTCGCACGCAGCCGTCCCGCAGCCCGTCCCTGCTGCCCCGCAGCGCCGGCCGTGGGGCCGGGGCATGGCCAGGACCAGGGCCCGGCGGGGCCCGGGGCGCTGCGGGCCGGGGCGGCCGCGCGGGAGCCGCCCGCGGCGCTGCGCAAACGCCCGGCCGAGCCCGGCGGGAGCAGAAGCGAGGGGGAAAAGGCTCCGCATCCAAAGCCGTGAGCGCTTTGCAGCCCCGCTGCGCTCGCCTGGCACCCAGCACACCCACTGCCTGCCCCCTGCGATCCCAATCCCACCGGTGGGATCCCRGCGTAAGCGTTGGCGCCAGAGCCCGGCGCCCTGGAGCCCCTCGCATGCCGCCCTTTCTCCGGCAGCCTCTCCTCCCGATCCTGCCTTGCCAACACCGGGGCTGGATGCCGGGCACTTCCCGCCTCCCTTCATGGCGTTTCTCTCCAGCCTTTTTCTCCTCAGCTCTGCACTCATGTGGCCCTGCCTCTATTTCCAAGCCCTCACACTAATATTGTTAACGATAATGATAATCTTTGTGCTTCAGGGTCTCATTAAGTTCCGTCTTACTCAGGAGGGTATCAACAGCACCTGAAGGCCCCGCGAAGCTGCTTCCGCGAGWCCTGAAGCGCTCCGTGCGCCTCCGCAGTTCCTGGGGAGTGGCGCTCCGGATTGCTCCATGCCGTCCGGAGCACTGCAGCTCCCTTCACAGCTCCGCAACAAGCCCCTGCAAGCRGGAGGCGCTGCCCCTCAGCCGCTCCGCTTAGTCAGGGCCTTCCAGCCGCTCCTCCGGGCCACCTGCATCTCCCAGGTCCTCCCCGCACAGCTGCCTCCCAGCACTGCTCCTTCCATCCCTCGGGCACTG